ATTCGAACCCGCCACCTTAGGTGTACGTGGCTGGCGCCTTAGCCGGTTGAGCTATAGGCGCCAAGCCGACACACACCTTCTTAAAGTTTTGATCACAACTTTAAGAAGATCCTGAGGTTGCTTTTACCTGAATTTTGATCCTTCCTCTTTGGTCCTTTGGCCATCCTTCTTGGATTGAAAATACCAGTACAATGGTACAATGACTTAAGTGGTTTCCCAGCTTCTGCTCCAGTTTCCCTTTCCACAGAAGCCAGTACTTCCCAAGTGAGCCCTCTGTGCACTCACTGTGATCTGGCCCCACTAGCCTGATCTGGTCTCTTACTTTAGTTATACAATCTTCCTGCTGTTTCTCAACCAGACTGGGACCTCCTAGCACATGCAAATGGCTGGCCCCAACATGTAATACCATGACCACCCTTTATCAATCTCCTCAGCACTTATCTGTTAGTCAGCAGAATGTCTGACATCCCTACCTCCAACCAGTAATACCAACAGCAGCCAATAGTGTTACTGTGATATTAAAAAAGTCTCCCCTTTGGGAGGCTGAGGCAGTGGATTTCTTGAGCTCAAGAGTTTGAGACCAACCTGAGCAAGAGCAAGACTCCATCTCTAACAACTAACCAGGCTCTGTGCCCAGCTCCTATAGTCCCAGCTACTTGGGACTCTGAGGCAAGAGGATCACTTGAGCCCAGTTTGAGGTTGCTGCAAGCTTTGATGCCACGGCACTGTCTCAAAAAAATAAATACATAATAGAAACACAAACATTAAAAAAACAGACTGGACACATAGCAAAAGACTTAACAGTGTAAGGTTGGTAGTAGCATTAGGAGAACTGTCTACATTTTTTTGAGACAGTCTCAAACTGTCACCCTGGGTAGAATGCCGTGGTGTCAAAGCTCACAGCAACCTCCAACTCTAGGGCTCAAATGATCTTCTTGCCTCAGTTTTTTTCTATTTTTAGTAGAGACAGGGTCTCACTCTTGCTCAGGCTGGTCTTAAACTCATAAACTCAAGTAATCCACCCATCTCGGCCTCCCAGAGTGCTAAGATTATAGGTATGAGCCACCGCACCTGGACTGAACCTTTTTCATTTTGTATTTTTGAAATGATTTTTTTTTTTTTTTTTGAGGCAATCTCACTATGTCACCCTTAGTAGAGGGCTATGGCATCACAGCAACCTCAAACTCTTGGGCATAAGTGATTCTCTTGCCTCAGCCTCCCAAGTAGCTGGGACTACAGGTGCCTGCCTACAATGCCCAATTACTTTTTGGTTGTAGTTGTCATTGTCGTTTGCCAGGCCCGGGCTGGGTTCCAACTGGCTAGCTCTAGTGTACGTGGCTAGCACCCTAGCTGCTGAGCTACAGGCACAGAGCCTGAAATACTTTATTGAGATGAAACTAACATGTGCTCCATTTCTGTAAAATGCAATACTGATTTCCCACACAGTTAGTACCCTGTACTAGTTAGCTATCTATTTATTCACCAAGTTTGTTCTCAAATGTTTATTTAAGCAGTAGTTATTTAATGCAGAAATCAATGAAAACAAGTTTCCCCATATAAAAATAAAGCTGAATCAGACTCCTTCGCTGCTTGAGATGGGGCCCTGGCCCTACATCTGAAGACTGAAAACTCAACGCATGTTTATAAGTAAAATAAAAAGTATATGGCAACACAATCCATGATTCTCCCTTTTAAACAACTAAATCTGATCTCACTGATTAATAGGACTTTGTGGCTCGGCGCCTATAGCTCAACCAGCTAAGGCGCCAGCCACGTACACCTAAGGTGGTGGGTTCGAATCCAGCCCAGACACGCCAAACAACG